ATCTTAGGTGAAGGGAAGGACAGCACACACTACAGGGGAAGTCAGCACAACTGGACTAAACCAAAGCTAAGAAGTTTCCTGAATACAATGAAACACAGGGACAGAGTAGCGGGGCGGAGGTCTGGGGACCATGCTTTCAGGGGACATCTAGGGCAAGTGGCATAACAAAGTTTATTAAGAAAATGTTCTGCATCCCACTCTGGTGAGCAGCGTCTGGGGTCTTAAAAGCTTGCAAGCAGCCATCTAAGATGCATCAATTGGTCCCAACCCACCCGGAGTAAAGAAGAATGAAGAACACCAAAGACACACAGAAAGTATTAGCCCAAGAGACAGAAAAGGCCACATAAAACAGAGACTGCATCTGCCTGAGACCAGAAGAACTAGATGGTGCCCAGCTACCACCAATGACCGCCCTGACAGGGAACACAACAGAGAGTCCCTGATGGAGCAGGATTAAAGTGGGGTGCAGAACTCAAAGTCTAATAAGAAGACCAGACTTAATGGTTTGACTGAGACTGGAGGAATCCCAGAAAGCATGGCCCCCAGACTCTCTGTCAACCCAGCACTAAAACGATTCCCTAGGCCAACTCTTCAAAGATTAGACTGGACTATAAGATATAAAATGATACTTGTGAGGAGTGTGCTTCTTAGCTCAAGTAGATACATGAGACTAAATGGGCAGCTCCTGTCTGGAGGTGAGATGAGAAGGCAGAGAGGTTCAGGAGCTGGTTGAATGGACATGGGAAATCAGGGGTGGAAAGGAGGAATGTGCTGTCACAGTATAGGGAGAGCAATTAGGGTCACATAACAACGTATGTATAAATTTTTGTATGAGAGACTAACTTGAATTGTAAACTTAAAGTACAACAATAAAATAAAAGTGAACAAAAATCTGCCATTGAAAACCCTATGGAGCACAGTTCTACTCTGACTCTTATCGGGTTGCCATGAGTTGAAATCAACTTGACAGCAACTGGTAACTGGTTAATCCACTTCGGGGGCACTGGTAGCAAACCCATGCAGAAATCAGGGATCTCCCTCTAAGCATCAATGCACAGGGAAGAGCCCACACTGCATTTCACTCCTATTTGAGGGAGGGGTTCTGAGGTTAAGGGGAGCTACAGGGTTCTCTCCCCTTCTTAGGTGACCTAAAGCCCCACCTGGCATATGCCCATGAACAAACCAAGAGGCCCCTGTATACCTGGGGGCAGCCAAGTAGAGAATTCCTTGGTTCAGTATATGGAAAACTAAAATAGCAATCATTTCCCCTCCATTTTCATAAGGAATCCCGTGTTGTCTCCTCTTTCCTCCAAGGAACACAGTTTGAAATGTAACTGTACAGCCTGGACAGACCATGAAGCACTAGTCACAATGTGTTCTTAGTGGAGGCAGAAGGTCCGCTAAATATAGAATCAACACATTTTAATAGCGTAGCCACAAAGACAGCTGAAAGTTTCTCTGGAAACTCTCTTAGTCTGGGCTCCACGTAGACATCCCATTTTGGAGCTACAAGAGTCATCCCACATAATTTGTTCATTAAAGATGTGTTAAATGAAGCCTAGATAATTTAAGTATATTGTCCAAGGTTATACAGTGACAGATCTGGGATAAGATCAGTCCTCCAGGGCTGTCAGTTCTGTCTCCTATCTACAAGATCAGAATGTCTTCAGTTTGCAGCAATAACAACTCTACTAAAGTTTCCTCCTTCCCTTTACCTTTCGATTTTACAGTTACTGTAACCCTGCATTAAAAAACCAAACCACCAAACTCATTGCCATTGAGTCAATTCCAACTCATAGTGACCCTCTGCACTACAGATGAACAAATCATTCGTATAGATTAAGAAATTTATATTGATATGTAGTATATGTACAAGAGCCCTGGTGGCACAGTGGTTAAGTGTTTGTCTGCAAACTAAAAGGCCAGCAGTTTGAACTTACCAGTTGCCTCGCAGGAGAAAGATGTGGCACTCTGCTTCTGTAAAGATTACAGCCTTGGAAGCCCTATGCGGCAGTTCTACTCTGTCCTGTAGGGTTGCTATGAGTTGGAATCGACTCAATGGCAACGGGTTTGATTTTTTTTTGTTTGTTTAGTATATATACAATATTCATTTCCTTTTATGAACTACACTATAATTCTAGTAGTAAGTTCAGTTGTTTATTATGATTATAGAATAAGATACGACGTATCATAGGTGAAGCATTTGCCTGGGACTTGATAACGTCAAAACATCTGAACAAAAGCAACCAACCACCACTCCAAAAAAAAAGGAAGGGAGGAAGGGAAAGATGGAAGAAGGAAAGGAGAAAAGAAGGCAGAGAAAAAATCCATCATTAATCTGGATTTGTAGCTCTGATTATCCTGCAGTACACAATACCGAGAAACGACACTGAACTCCAACACTCACTTTACTGACTGAGATTATTCAGCTCAATAAACATAAGCCCTGCCTCTGAGAGGCTGTGCCTGGTAACTATGCAGTTAAGCTGTGCTGTGTATGTTAGCAGCTGTTCCCTTCACTGAGATAACTGATGAGAACCTGTACAGAGTTTCAAAAATAATTAAAAAATTTCAGTGCATCTGGATCCATCTCCAGCTGAGATGAAAACCCACTTTCAAAACTGCAGTCTGCACACTCCTCCCTCATAACAGAACATGCAATTGCTGTGGAACCTGTTGTTTCTATTATAATAGGCTTTAATGAAATTAAGTACTCTTTACCTTTCTTGTAAGTGGAACTTCAATGGGGACGGGAACAACTTCAGCGAGTAAGCAGCCGTAAAATGCTACCATGAAAGCGGCAGGGTCGTTGTTAGGAAATACCAGTGCTACCTGAAACACACAGAACCCGGGAAACAGGAAAGAGATGCACCACTAGGAATCTAGGGCAGTTGGTGAAATAAAATTTTCTTAGTTCCTCTGAAAACAAATTTTAACATTAGAATATTTCTCATATGTTAACATGTTACATGTTATATTCTGCTTTTTAAGATATAAAAGGATTTAATCTTCCACAGGCACTGGAGTTAAAAGTTTAAATAAGAATGGATACTGGAATAAAAATTCAGTGCTCTATTTTTATTTGTGCAGACATTTAATGTTTATACATAAATTTGCCAAATTTTCTTTTATGTTATCACCAATCGTTTGACAAATATTTCATCCAATTTCCCTAGATTTTTAAAATTGTGAACCATTTAATTCGTCTGGAATTAGTATTTGCTGTGTAGCTAATTCAGTGTATATACAACCTTGGTCCATTGTTACCCAATGTTACTTACTAAGTAATCCTTCCTTAGTCTCTTATTTTAGAAAGCTTTATTTATGATATAAACTTTTAATAGACAATCCTATTTCTGGATTCTCCATTACGCTCTGCAGAACTCTGCTTCTATTTTTAACTTGAGTTCCTCTCATTTACTGCTTTAGCATTAGTGCTACTCTTTCTCAGGGATAGTTAACTTTGGCATGTTTTCATAAGTACATAAAAACTATGATTTAGAAACCATGTATTATTTTTGCATTACTTCATTTTAGAATTTAATTTTTTTTCAAAATTTCCTAACTAGAAATTATTGATTCTGTCATGCACAGTTGAATAAGACAGTCTAATTTCCCAATATCTAAATAAGCAGGCTTGCCAAAAGATACATATGGTATTGAGAAAGAAGCAGGTCATATGTTAAATTTGACCATGCTGACAATTCTGTAACATAGACAGTTGGTGGAAACAAAATTACGTTTTAGATTCTAGTAGATTCCCTTCCTATATGGCATTCCTGAAGTTAGGGGAATATATTTTAAAATAAGGTCAAAATTTACTAAAAAAAAAAAAAAAAAGCTTCTGAACTTGTTTTGAAATGTATCATTATACTTATCCTTTGCATTGTTTTGAAAAGGAAAAAATTAATCATGAAAGTTTTTATGTAATTAAATTGGTGAAGCCATGTGTCTTGCTTTATATTAAAACCTAACTGGAATATTGTTAGTACAAGAGAGCTTCAGTATTTTAATTTCAAGTGATGGGATATCATTTAAGGTTTCAGAGCTAGAAATCTTGTGTGAGATATTTGTATGATAGAATCATGTCCATCACTCAGCCACAATAAGCATTTAACTTCACTGTTATTGAGGCAGCACTCTTATAGACTCTACAAGGTTTTTTGTTTTGTTTTTTTATAATTTGCTTTAAGGACAAGACATTTGCACTTGTATCATTCTTATTAAGGTTTCCTTTTATATCTGAATCAGCTACAAATACTATAGTATTGTTAGACTCTGGAGTAATCACAGTGCAATACTATAAAAACATACAGATGCAGAACTTTTATAAAGCCCATGGTCTCAGTTTTCTTTAATAATTCTCTGTGTATTCCCTGGATACTTCATTGTACCACATCATCCTTAGAGCAGAATAACCACCAGTAAATCACGAGCTGGAAGACATACTGCTGAGCTCTGCAGTAAGGCCTTTCATGTTAAACGGATTCCAATCTTCCTCTTCCACTCTCCTTCCATTGATCTTCATATACGCAGCTCTACGGTTCAGGTGAATGGCTCTTTCCTTCTTTTGCCCACCACAGACTTTCCTACCTTACTTCCTTTTCCACACTATTTCCAACTACCTGACCAAGAGTGTACATGCTTCTCCCCACCCCACCCCCAAAGGCCTCAGATTCCCAGAGGCTCCCCCAAATGAAAAAGACCTTTATTCTTCCCAAATAGCTCACTATATCTCTTAGGATCTCTTTTGAAGTCCTTAAACACTCTCCAATTTATATAAAAGCTATTATCAATACGTCTTTACATTTGCTTTAGTACTACAAGCTTCCTGAAGACAGGATTCATATTTGATCATCTTTACATCTTCCATAGATCCTACTACAATATCTGAATAACTATTTAGTTTTGGACATTATAAATATCATTTCCAAAGACCAAGAATGTATTCTCCAAATAGCATTAACAGAAGTCACCCACATGAAAAGTCCTATAATTTTATGCTAGGGACTTCTATGTTCATAATTTTGGGGAAAACTGTGTTTTATTAAAAAATAATTTTCAAAGAGAATAAGAATTCCATTTATTGCAACAGCAGGTTGCTGTCAACTAAACACTGTAATTAGTGTGCTTATTTAATAACTATTCATACACAAGTGCCAGATGCTAACCACATGAACAGTTTAAGGAAAAATTTAGAAAAGTAGCCCCTATAATAAGCCAAGCCATCCCTTGTCAAAAATCTCATTACATATTTTATTCTATCACAACTGTGCTCACCACATTCCTACTAATATCTTGATTGATCACAAGGTAGTTTATTCTGCAACTATTATTGTACAGGAATTTCAAGAATCTGGGTTGCTATGAGTCAAAATTGACTCAGAGACAGAGTTTTGATTGGAGGTCATACTACAAATGAAATTTTTAAGAAACTAGACTACTAAGACTGTGGGCCAACTTACAGATAAGGGGACTATTACTCTGAGATTGCCTTTCAAAAGCTAGAGTTTACCTTATTCAATAATAGAAAGAATCACAGTTAATCACAGAATCCTAGAGCTGGCAGCAACTTTTAAATATTCCCCCTATGGCCCATGTCTCTATAATATCTCTTAAGTAAATCATAGCTCATGTTCTCATTGCTCTGTGGTGCTCAAAATATTTTTAAAGAATTCATATGGGATCCTTTGTGTGCAGGTAGGATAACCTAGTCTTGAGGCCTCTAAGATACATAACAACATAGAGTAAAAAATGTACTATATTTGAAGACAAGAAACTGGGTTCTATATCCAACCCCACATCTAAATCGGTATGCAAAGCTTGGACAACATTCTTACCTGTTCTGGGTCTAATACTAAAATGGAAATACTAATACCTGTCTTCTGTAACTTTCCAGATTACAGTAAAAATAAAAGAATTGCTTTCCAATGAAAGATAGTAGCCTATATCAAGAAATTTAACACCAAGATAGGAAAACGATTTGCTGCCAAGAATGTCTGTCTCACTAATATTAAAAAAAAAAAAAATTTATAATTATACTGCTTGGCCAGGTCCATGACACTATTTCTATGATGGTTAAGATCATGGGCTTTGGAGTGTAACAGACTTCTATGACATTTACCAGTTATAGAACCTCATTTAATGGTTTGATACTTAACCTCTCTAAGCCTAAGCATCCTTATGTATATAAAATGGGAGAAATACTAAAACTTAGCTCATTGAGTTGTTGTAAAGATTAAAGGATATATTGCATGTAATCACTCCTGGTTCATAGCAAATACTAAGAAAGCCTTATTTAAGTAGTAGTATTATTAGGAAAGGCTAACCTCTGGAATTTAAAACGGTAGGTATATTTTTGACGTTAAGACTATGCATTTCGAAGATCCAATAATTTAAATTGCACTTACCCTATCTCCAGGTCGGACCATAGGTTCTTGTTTTGTACCTAATTTATGTAGAATGTTGTAAGCAACCTTCATACTTCTTGTCCACAGTTTGCCTATCAATACAAATTATAAAGACGAGTAAATCCCTCAGAATATCTGGAAGCACAAGCCATGGATTTTCAGTTATGCATATAGGTACATATTAAACTATACATATTACTTCTCCAAATGAAATCACATCATATGCATCCATTTGCTTCTTGTATATGTGATCTGCAAGTAGCTCTTGTTAGAGACAATAATGAAAAAGGGAACCAGGTAGTCAAGAAGAGAAAATGTTCTAAGTCAGTGAAGAATAGACATTTTTAAAAACAAACTTCAGCAGAGAGAAGAAAAATGAAGAAAAAATAAAAACCAAACTTTAGGACTGCCTTCCCATTTTATCTATGCTGAGGGAGGAAGCTGATGGTACTTGTGTTATTACAAGGCTATCGTGAGTTAAGCTAATATTATTCGGCCATAGCAACGGGATGAGGTGTCCTTAAGAAATCCTCTGAGTAGATTTAACAAAGTTTGCCCAAAGTTTTTTGTTTTTGTTTTTCCTTTTAAGCACTCAAGTTATTCTGTGTCCCTGCAATCAAGATGGGAAACAAAAGCTAGCAACTCTCATAAAATCAGAGAAGCCTGAACATTTGAATGAGGTACCAAAAACAAAATAGAACTTCTCTTAGTGTGCAAAATACCTACAGCAAAGCCATAAAAAGTTTTCATTATTATCACAGAAATTGTAGGGGGAAGATTTTTAGAGCATACAGTATGGAAGGACTTCGTACAATAGTAGCTATTGCTGCTCTTACAAGTCATGCAAAATGACACATTTCTTTATTAACATATCCCTTCTCAGACGATAGTAGTCAATGTAAAGAGAACTTAAAGTAGGTTTTATAGGTTCATTCAAAAACTTGACTGATTTCCTCTTTTCCAAGTCCCAAATTTCTCAACTTCAAACTTTCTTAACCTAAGGGTTTTAGAGTTGAATCCTTGAACTTTGATAAGAATTATTATAAACATTTTGAGTAATGTTAAAATTCTGAATTCTAGAAAAATTACCACAAAGCAGGATTAAAAAAAGGAATACACAGAGAGAGAGAGACTTGGTAAAAAAACAACAGGCCCTGAAGAACTTGCAGAGTTCAAGTCCCCATCTTCATCTCAGTGCCAGGTATTTTCTCAGCATTGTCCAGGTAGGTGATGGTCTGAATAGTATGAGCTGGACTAAAAATGACTAAAATCTAACAAAAGTTCTAGAATACAAAAAGGCCTTTTACAACCTAGTCTCAACAACCTAAGCTGCAAAGAGCTTTTCAGAAGTAATCGAGGCCTTAGTATTAGTGCAATAATAGTATAATAAAGTTAAATCAAATGTTTCTTATAAACACAATAATTGTTTTAATCTTTTTCCCAATTTAAATGCAAAGGTTAATTAAAAAAAATTTTTTTTTTTTTGTTTATACCACATTTTGAAAAAAGAAAAAAACAACCACCCTGAATTTGTTTTATTTCATATTGGATTTTGCAGCTACACAAATTAATGTTACTACCATATACCTATCACAGGATTTATGAACTTGTCTTCTTAGTATTTGGAAGGCAAAGAAAATGTCTTAATCATCTTTGAGTCCCCTAATTTCTAGGACAATTCGTGGTACACAGTATGTGCTCAACAAATGTTTCTTGTGTGTTTTGTCATAAGCATGCTATAATAAAGGACAAAATTATAATATGCCTTTTAGCATACTTCTTTAGCACTTAAAACAATTACTAGATACAAAATTTTATTCATTTCCCAACTCCTTTAACTATCCCCTCACCAACAATGCAGTCCTCAGGACGGGCTACTTTACATCATTTGGTACTGGGGGCGGGCGGGGGGGGCAATGTATTTTTTTCCCTAAAATATCATCAGTCCATTAGAAATAATTCCGGGAGACTTTCTTTTTTTTACTAACAAAAACAAAATTATTTTGTGTCTTCAGATCTCTTTAATGTGAGCAATATTAGGGAACTATTAGAGTTGAACAAACAATTACAATCAATTTCTTGTAATTGAGAAAATCAATTTGTTGTAAATGAACAAATCAACACAATCTAACAATTACCATCATTATATTTTGCTAAAGTTTCAACTTCCTTCTGAGCTCGGAAACCTAAAGTCAGCATCATCATAAATTCACAGAAAAGCCAACTGATGACAGTTTGAAAAGAGTAAAACACATAAATACATTTTTGGCAAAATTCTAAAAATATACTTGATATTTTTCAAAGAGAAAAGGAAAGAAGGAATACATTTAATTGCTCATTTAGGTTAGAGAAGACATGAAAATGATGTAAACATTATTTAAATAGAAACTAATTTTAATTTCACTTGGAATTTAATGAGGAATAGGCAACTGTCCGGAGAGTACAACTGTGACCAGGCAGACAGGTGAGTAAAAAAGGGCTCATGGCAAGTGCCTTGAACACAGAGTGAACATGGAGCACCATGGCTATAAAACCTGGAAACGGGTAGAAGTTTGAGAAACACAACCTCAATAACGCAAAAGAAGCATATATAAAGATTGTCCAATGCTTTTCTAGCTCAAGAATCTAAATCCCTCAGAATATCTGGAAGCACAAGCCAAGTAATAAAACAAAACAAAAACAGGAAAAAGATACAAAACAGAAAAAATAAGCATTTGCTTGATAGAAAAAGCACATTACAACAAAGCAAAATGAATTTACAGATATCTCACTACAGCCAGAGAGGAGATAGGTGAGAAGGATATTGAAAAGTTTCTACTGAGTGAGGAACGATGAAGGGAAATTAGTTGTAGAGTACTATTTATTTTGATTAATTTAAGATTATGAAACGTCATGGGTACTCTTTAGTGCATTGGTTAAATGGTTGGCTGCTAACTGAAAGGCAGTCAGTTCAAACACATCAGCTGCTCCTTGGGAGAAAAGACCTGATGATCTACTCCCATAAAGATTACAGCCTAGGAAACCGTATGGGGCAGTTCTACCCTGTTCAATAGGTTCGCTACTAGTAGGATCGACCCGACAGCACAAAACAACAACATGAAAACTTCTTAGTATGTTCTTTTTTATTTAAATTAGAAAATGGAAAGCACGTTAAGATTTTTTATGTTTGTTCACAATCTTCATTCACCATCAATATATTGTCTATTAAAAATCCTAAGTTTCTCAGCTGAGAATTCTGCTACCCTAGGACTTTTCAAGGTAGTTAAATTATAGGATTGAGGGAATTTATAAATACTTTAACTACTACAGTCATTCAATGATATCAAGTTACTAGGTATTAGAACAACTCCTATTTAATGAACTTTACTGAGTCCTTCGGCAAAATGTACTCATTAAATGTTCACTTACTTTAAAGTGCCCCTACATAGCACTTTTCTATGGTTTTCACTGTATTAGTCAACATTTTCATTTTATGTCTTGACAAATTGTAACCTTACATTTTGAAATGCATTCCTTTAACAAGTAAAAACCAAATTTGACCTACAGCATTTTACTAATATAGATGACAGAAATAAACAAAATGCAGATGATTTAGAAGCAGGAGTTGAAATATTTTGGTGTAGACACATGCAGTCCAAATTTTCACAGATAGGATTCAGTCTTTGTCTTATGCCTCAAATTCACCTTAAACCTGCAGGAAAAGGAAAAAACTTGCCAGTACTCTGTTCAACATTCCATCAGTAGAAGAGGGGCTATACTTCTAATATAGGTTAAAAGCCCCTTGGGAATCGTGTCATACCTATCTTTGTATTCCAAGCCCTAGTACGTGCTAATGCATAGTAAATGCTTAATAAATCTTAATAAATGCTTGATGGTTGAAAGAATGAATGCATGCACTCATGCATGCATACAGGCTGGTCCCAGAATGTTCTAGTATATAGATAGGTAAGCCTTGGAATTATCTACAGTTAAGGAGCAGCAATTCCAAGTATACAAATATCTCTAAGGCAGAATTTGACCAACGTTGATGAGGGTTACACAGAAAAGTATTCTACCTTTAGGCTGAATAAATATGCTCAACTTCCAACAGCATATTTAAAAGAAAGAAAATAAATAAAGCTTATGTCTCATCATAGGTGACATATACCTTTATCCATCTAAAATTACCCAGTGAAGCTATAAAAATAAAGAGGCTATGCTCTTGAACCTAAATCCTATTTCTGTCAATGAAACTTCCATGCACAGGATTATGGCTGTGAGTTTACAGCTGGTGCGTCCAGGAGCATCTCATTCCCCCGAAAGGCTGGACTCTACTTATGTTCCATAATTCAATCTAACATCTGGCTTTTGACCTCGATTGCTGACGTTGAAATAGATTTCTTTGTTCCTTACCTGCAATGGGAGGTTCACTGATGTCATAAAAACAAACAAAACAATAATAAAGGTAATCTAACTTCACATAGTTTCTCTACAAAGCTAAAGCAGAGAAGGGTGAAAGTTACTTGCTTTCTCCACATCCCCTTATCCCTGGAACAAAGCGGAAAGAATCTACCTGGTACAGTTAACTACTCTCAAAAAGTTTACCATTTGCATTAATTGCATTGAATGAAGAATTTTTAAAAAGCTGGCTTTCTCTGTTTTTCTGAAAAAGTATTTTGGAAACAAGATTTTGTTTCTTCTGAATGATGTATATCAAAGAGTTTAGATATACATTCTTTGACTACCAATCCTTTCGGAAATGATTAATTTTAAGCCATAAAATCCATTAACTTATTAGCATAATCACCACACTTTTATATCAATTTCTGGTTTTAACTCCAAACACATTTAAACAATGGTAAATTTTTCATATTCAAACCAAATATTTTCTTTCAGATTCCATTTATTTCTGTACCAAAAATATAATGAAGCACAGATACAAATTAGCCACCCTAACAGTCATTTACTTTCTGTGCATTCAGTGGCAGCTATTAAGAGTTCTAAAAAACAGAATAAACTCACATTATCTTGGAACTGAGAAATCACTTTCCTTACTCAGATAAGTATTTCTGTCACTCTAAGAAAGTAATCCACCACTTGTCTGTCAGTTTGT